TTTTTATTATTTTGTAGTCCTCCTTACATCCGGGTCTTCTGCAGCTTTCCGTCCGTTCCATCAAACTTAGCAATGACACTTTTGTACTGTTTGATGCCTAGCGAGCCTACTTTTGCGATACTCCCCACGTCCCCCGCGGCCAAGTACGAACCCCTTTCTGGGAATTTCCCATGAAAAGAGGGCTGTTAAACGTAGCAGTTAAATCTGTAAAGAATACACTCATAATAATTTTCATTTTTTAACATCTTGACTTCCATAGCTCCACTCCCACTATCAACTGAAATGTCGAAGCATTGCCCGGCTCTGAGTGACCCTTGAGATTACGACCCCCCCTCCCCAGCGGCCAAGTACGACCCCCCTATGGGTTTCGCACAACGATGCTGTACCCTGAACATGGGGCCTGTAGCGTCGTAGGAATACCAAATTATGTATTTTGCGGTGTTTTAAAAAAACTACTGCGTTTGGTTTGGCTAGGGGATCTACGGCCGTGGCACATTCCAGTGGATTAAGTGAGTTCAATGGAATTCGTTATAACTTGGAATGTTACTTCCTTCTTGGTGTCATTTAGATTTATAGGCGACGATCCTAATTTTAACATGTCTTTTAGCTAGTTATTTTATACAGCAATTCGATTCGTAGAGGATAGAGAGGCTAGTTTTACTATTATTGGGTGGGTATTTAATGAGAATTTTCACAGCTAAAAACTTCTCAGTAAATCAGATAGCCCTATAGTATATTAAACCATATCAATATTTTGTTAGTATTTTATCTGAAGTTTACGATATGCAGGAGGACATGCTGAATACTCCCAAAAGCGCAGACAGTCTGGTGACTGTGTTAAGTTTCTGATTGCTCCATTCATAGATTATGACACATTTCTAAGGCTAGGGTTCGTACACACTTTGCCGTAGAATCAAGCGGTTTTTGTTTTGGTGTCTTTTTTTGTTTTGCTGCCAGAACACATAAGGGAAACTCCTGACCACACCAATCTTCAGGTAAACGGCGAAGGCGCTGATGCTATTGCAAACCGATGGCACTGCTGACTGAGGATTACGCGGTCTGTACGGGTGCGAGATAACTCCTTTCCTGATGCTAGTCGATGTTATCTTAAATATCTCAGTTCCATCTTTGAATTTTACTGGCCATGATCGTTGAACCGATTCACAATTTTGTTATTAAATAATGGATGGACAGTTGATTGCTTTGTGAGCGGCCAAGTGCAGTTAGGCAGTGAAAGTCAACTGTGTTCAGGTATTGCTGTGTCGTCTACTTATGAGACTGCTTGCTCTCTTCCTTACTCGACAGGAGAACGACGTGTAATAACCAGCAAAATTATTTATTCAGCTTTACTTGGGAGTGAACTCTTCAAATGCAATTAAGTGTTACAATTTGCAGAATTCAGGTGTTTTGCTTTACTGCGATAATGTTTTCTACTTAATAGACTGCAAGTACTAGTTAATGCTTATCAGCAGAGGGAACTAATCGTCATCGTCTTCTTCGTCTCTGGACCTGCGACGGTGGCGCCGGCGGTGTTGCTGTTGCCGTTGCTGCTGCTGTCTTTGCTGCTGCTGCCGTTGCTGCTGCACTCGATGTTGTTGCAGCCGTTGCTGTTGCAATCGTTGTTGTTGTAGCCTATGTTGCTGTAGCGGATGAGCTTGTTGACGCGGTGCAGGCCTTTGCTGCTGTTGTTGTTGTTGTTGTCGTGATGCCTGTCGTCTATGTGGCAATGGTTTCTTCCTTTGTTGCATATTTACAGTCATACTTGGTATGTGGCCGGCAAGCTGTTTCTTCCTTGACTTACTTTTACTAGGTACCTCTTCATCACTTACCACGACGGCATCAACATTTTCTCCCCTCTTCCTGAAAGACCTTTGCCTGGCCGGTTTTGCGGGCTTTTTGCCTCGTGATCCCGTACGCTCTGCATCCACCGAAGCATGAGTCGACACTTGGGTTTCATTGTTATCCCTACCGCACCTGATACATTCTTGTTGCTGAGGCAGATTGTCGACCTTCGTCCGACGAACCGACTCTTCTTCGACCATCGTCTTCACTGTCATGTCGGGGATCGGCGCAGCCTCATCAGCCATCGTCCTCATTGTCTTATCGGTATCGTCGACTCTCATCTGCACATCCACGACTCGACGACCAGTCAGTGGTGCCAAGCCAATACGCATTGTCGGTGCCCATTCTAGGACAAGTGGCCTGAAACTACAGCTTCATCTATTGTCATGATGGCTGAAGTTTTTCTGAAGCTACTGACCCTTTGAGGTGATAATCCATAGCTTCCCGTAGAATTCGCCTTGCTAGCTGATGATCAAAGTTGTCGTCAAGCTTTCTTACAAGGTCGAATAATGCAAATACAAACGGAGAGTCAGGCATTTGACGTTTTCCTAAATGTGTAACTTGAGTTGGCCTGGCTTGTACTGCTCAGGCTGTTTCTTTCTGCAGTGGCAACTTCACAGGAATGCCTTCCCATACGAAGTCTAGGGCTCGCGTCGTTATTAACTTAGCGGCAATTGTTTGAATTGACTAGATTGATTATTTGTATTGATTAGAGCTTGAAGTGTGAAATTTGTACCGAAGTCCTGGCAATAAAGACAAGCACAGTTGAGTCCGCTTTGAGTCGCAGTCGGGTTTTGTACTAGATACCGCATTTATCCCATTCAAAAACTTTGCCGCGATGGCACCGTGGTCACGATAACCTTGCAAATGTATACTCCCTGTGCATACATGGTTTCCATAAATCACCAGTCGGATCGCCCGGCTAACGCCGAGCTCTCCTCCTTTTTGGAAGGGCACTTTCATAATGAAAAGTTCAAAATCTGGTCATGGATAATCGATTACTCTCCTCCCCATCTCATGACAGCCATGGATGCTTCGGTCTCCGCAGTCGCTGCGTGCTCCTGTTCAGGCGAGCGTCGGTCGCGCCAATATGGTACCCCTTCACCTCACCTATCCCCAAACTAACCTCAGCTATTCCCCGCTCAGCCACCCTACAGGTCACGCTCAGCTGCTACGCGAATAGCCCGTGCAATGGTTCTGAGTGCACTAAATGGTTGTGTTATGTTGTGGAGGGTGTTATGACTATCAAAACGCTACCACAATTTGATAATGCAACATTAATCGGTTCAGTTCCGATTGCGGTCGATCCATTTTCTTCCCATCTTATCGCAACCGTAGACGCCTTACCGCCGCAGGCGCTATGTGCTCCTAATCGCGAAATCGCCGTTCTCATCTGGTATCCCCTCACCACATCATATCCCAGTGACCCTATTTAACTGGCGCCCACTCCTGGATGCAGCCGCCACGTGAGCAGCTGGTGCAACATAGGGACACTACGCCGCCACTGTTCTTACCACCGCCTTGCTCGTGCTCACGTCCAGCTCCCAAGCGAGCAGCTCCTGCAATAGCACAGAGTCTATCACAGTGGTTGGCTTAGATAGGGAGCTATTCACAATCCAAACAGCTTCCTAGTTCGTTGCTGTAACATGGATTAGCTTGCAGTTTTGCTAGGGGTTCTTTCCTTCTGTCTTGCCGCCTGCTCCTATCCAAGCGTACGCTACGCATCCCCTTACTGTACCCAGTTTGCCCGATTCAATCCATATGCCTCCTTCCCCTGCATGGGCTCAGATCCGACTGAGTACGCGCAAGGGAGTGAGGATGGGAGAAGGGGGTCACTCGATACTAACTCCCACCTTCCTCACCTCACCCCATTCCGTACTCGCCACTCCACCCCCCCCCCCCCACCTTGCCCCTTGCACGCGCTTACGTCCAACTGCCACGCGAGCAACCCGTGCAATGGCTCGGAGTGTAGTGGTTTTCTTATATAGTGGAGAGTGTTATCACAACCAAAACAACTTCTTAGTTCGTTACGGTAACATAGATTGGCTTACAGTTTTGTTAGCGGTTGTTTCCTCATCCATTGGTGTGCGTTTCTACTGAAACGCGCGCTACGCACCCCTCACTGTACCCCCTTCCCCGCGACCCCTTCCCTCTGCCTCCCTCCAATACATGTGCTCAGCCGGAGCACATGCAGGAGAAGGAGGCAGGGCGACCTGGCACCCCCACCCTGCCCCCGCACGAGCACACGTCCAGCTGCCACGGCAGCAGCTCGTGCAATGGCTCGGAGTGTACCGAGTGGTTGTCTTATATATGCTGTTATCACAATCAAAACATTGGATTGATACATCTGCACCGATGGGTTCCCGGTTTGGCTAGCGGTCGTTTTCTTCTTTCACTAACGTGTTTAATCCCGTAAAGCATTTTGCGGACGGACAGACATACAAACATACATACATACCGACAAACCGACACACAGAGTTAGTGCTTTATAGAATGTAAGGATTTCTGCTTTATAGAATGTAAGGATTTCACCCTAACACTACTAGCTGAACGAACTGACAACTTGTTAAAATCTGTTTTCGTGTAGTTTTTTCTCTTCCTTTCACTTGGTAATACCTTCCGTGAGTGGTTATTTGAATACTAGACGGGGGTGGAATAAATAATAGGCTTTTGGGTCGAGATATCAGCCGGGTTTGAAATATTTTCTACTCTTTCGTCATTCCTTCTCTACGTCATTCCTTCTGCCACGAACTATGAACGCTGCCTTATGTTATGAGATATTTCATTCTAAGAAAACTGCCTACTGCCTAAACTGAAAACTGCTATATTAGACTAAGACATGACGGCACCGCATGGTTCGAACCAAGTACAGATCCACTCCTGCAGAGATATGGAGCATAGAGGTCGCGGTTCGCACTTTTATGATACACCTCCGCAGCAAAATTCGAAACATTCGGACGCCGCTTATTCATTTAAAATGGGCCAGCTCCAATCTACCGATGGAAACAGGCCGTCTCGTAACCCTGACCCAGTGTGCAGTGCACGTTCGAAAGTTAGCAATATTGGGTGCCGTGCTGCAGAAAATTTCCAAGAAATTCTCAGGAATGCTCTTTACCTTAGCTGAAACCATGACCGGCACCTTATTTCAAAGCGCGTCCCTATTTAGGGGAAGCAGAGGTCCTGCGTGACAAAGGAATCCTATAGCCTCGGAAGCTACAGCAGCCTTTCGCTATCTGGCACTCACCTTCCCAAAAACTCGCTTTCTCAGCTTCCATAGCCTGTTCGTTGTTCATTTTTGCCCAAGGTAATACTCCCGGTGCGAGTCTGAAAAAGGACCATTGCTGAAGCGCGGAAAAGATCACCGGAGGTAATTGGAAGCACGTACAGATCGACCAAGACGTAGAACCACGATTCGACGTCAGTTCTTTCACGAGCAGCTGCGCGTCTGTGAGCGTCTAAGCTCCAGTATGGCAACGTGTAGCCGTCGGGTGTCCCATATCTGAGCAACTTTAGAAAATGTCGCAGAATGTCTCCCTGACATTACCGGTGCACTTGACAGCCAGACTACCTGATCTTTTTGCCCTTTTTCACGGTGTCACCGTAATCGATTAGATAAATTCGGGTCATTAAGGTGCCGGCACCGGCACAAATATTGGTTAGTTTAACATCACGATGGATATACCTCATACCGTGGAGGAACTGAAATTGGAGGTGTACAAAGTGGGGATGTTTCTTTGTTGCGTCGTGTCGCAACTCGCTGAGCGCTCGCTCCAGACCGCTTACAAGCGTATAAGTTAGTGTAGTAATGTCTTATAGATACCGGAGAACGGCAAGTGAAATCAAATCATGCCCTGATAGGGTTCCTGCTCGGAAGCGCTGTGACTTACCTCAGAAAGCCAAAAATTATTGCGGTACTGCTGTATTACCTAGGAGACGCCGGCCTCCGATGCGAGTTGAACCTACTCCCACCTCATGAGCTCTAAATCTCGTCTGGTGTGTGACAACTACCCTACCATGAATTTAAGTGATTCCAACACCAAAACAATAACTAACCGCTATCGCCGCTATGGCTTCGTGAGCAACATAGTAAGCTGTAGATGCCTTGAACGTAGATGTTTGTTCACGAAGTTTCTCGAGATTACGATCCAGAAGATTCATTACTGTAAGACTAGCATTGAATCAGTCACCTCAAGCTGCAGCTCTCTCAGAGACATCGCTATTCAGCGAAAGAATGAGGGGCAAACACTGTAAAGACACTCGCCTCAGTCGCTCGTCATCCAGGTGGTTCAACTTGGATATCGTCTCCTCATGAACGAAAATGGGCAAAGAGTTGCCGGGATCAAGGTACAGTGTCGCGCTGTGTAAATTTGGATAGATACGACCTTCCCAAATGTTCCCATTCTGTATGACCCGGTCTCCCCTCCCCCTTTGCCCTCAAGCAGCAAATTACTGTTTTTTTTACGATGGATGTTGTGCCCTGACCGCTATGAAGAAGTTGTCGATGGCTGCATGATAGCTCCACCGACCCATTTGTCAAGTTGTAGGTAATCAAATGTACCGAGAAGGTTGTTTCTGGTTGCGACTATTGAACCAGAGTAGCGATCAAGAAGATACCCCTGCATATCACGTGAATACGAAGAAAACTGCGGTTGAAAGCAGTATAAGCCCTGTATCAATGAAAGTGCAACGGACAGCTTGGCTCTGAATTTGGGGCTACCGTATCAAAGGATGAGCCACTTAAAGTTGTCACTTTACTTGTAAACGGTATGGGCACTTGTTTTATTGTGATATGTGTTGATTCAGATTCGCTAGTTGCCGCAAACTGCTACCTTTTTGGAGTGTTCATGATTAACCATCAGGGCAAATCTTGCAGTTGGGGAAAATTTCTGCAACTACAATCCCCCTTAAAGGTCCGTCCTTTGATAAGACCCTCCCCTTCCTTCCCCTCCCTCTCCACCTACCACTCCTCTTTGAGGTTTCCCAACTTCCTACCTTTTTCCGGAGTTTTTTTTTCTTTCAATTCCTCTTAGTTCTTTCCCCAAGAACCTGCCGCTGACTAGAGCGCGATGAGGGGGGTGAGGGGGGGGGGGGGGGGGAGGGGACTATACAGAAAACACGTGAAACGGGGAGAACTACGAATAGTCAACAACCGATCAACATTTTTCTCAGAGGCCGAATACAACCTCCCCCC